AGCATTTGATAGGGTGCCGCGTGAGATTACAAGATGGGCCTTGAGAAAATCCGGTGTGGAGGAATGGTTAGTTACCGCAGTGATGGCAATGTATGTTGGAGCACAAACAGCAGTACGGACGGATTATGGTGATAGTGACAGCTTTGAGGTGAAGGTAGGACTTCATCAAGGATCCGTGCTGAGTCCATTATTATTTATCTTAGTAATGGATGTGGTGGCTAGAGAAATGCGTGAAGGACTTCCCTGGGAGATATTATATGCAGATGACCTTGTATTAATGGCAAACAGTGAGGGAGAATTGAGGGATAAAGTTAGTAAATGGAAGATGACTATGGAAGCAAAGGGCCTGAAAATGAATGCATCAAAAACAAAGGTGATGATTGGTGGGGAAAATCTAAAGATAGAAGAATCAGGTAAGTGGCCTTGTGGTGTATGTGGGAAAGGAGTTGCTAGAAATTCTATCCAATGCACCAGATGCCAGAAATGGGTACATAAAAGATGTAGTGGGAAAAAAGGCAGTTTGATGTTAGAAAGAATGACCTTTATTTGTAAAACATGCATGAAAGGGATACATAATAATGATAACCTAAAAAATGGTGGTCTGGATATTGGCAATGGGTTAACCCTAGAAAAAGTGGATAAGTTTTGTTATTTAGGTGATATGCTAAACGCAGATGGTGGTGTAGATTCTGCTGTTGTTGCAAGGATCAGACAAGCTTGGAAGAAGTTCAGAGAGATGTCGTCTATTCTTACAAATAAAAAAGTTTCTCTGAAGTTAAAGGGGAAAGTTTACGTAAGCTGCGTGAGGAGTTGTTTAGTTTATGGCGGTGAAACATGGGCAATGAAAGCAATTCACGAAGCCAAATTAGAAAGAACAGAGATGAGGATGGTTAGATGGATGTGTGGGGTATCTCTGAGAGAGAGAAAACTAGCAAGGAATTGCGAGCAAGATTAGGTATAGAAATGATTGGTATGGTAATGCGACGAAATAGACTAAGATGGTTTGGGCATGTGGAACGTATGACAAGAGATGACTGGGTAAAGAGATGCACAATGATGGAAGTAGGAGGATCAAGACCTAGAGGAAGACCCAAGATGACGTGGACAAATGTGATAGCGGCGGATATGAGAAGCTTGAATCTTACAAGTATTGATGCTCAGGACCGTCAAAAATGGAAAAGAAAAATCAGAGGGAAAACTGGCCTACCCGGGTAAACCTGGAAATCGCCATAAAACGGAGAAGAAGAATAATGCTCAATCTAAATATCAATATTAATTTGGTAACTTTAATAAAAATGCTCAATTGAAATTATATTGTATTTCATAATTTTAATAATGCTCAATCTAAAAATCATGTGGGGCAACAATTTCAGATTTATGATATTCCAGGAGTGTTAAAAAATGAAATACCAAGGGCAGTGACATCAAATAATATATTAAATGGATTCTTAGCATGTGGCATATTTCCTTTAAACCCAAATATATTTACAGAACAAGATTATATCTGCTGTAATAATTCAAATGCTAACTCAAATATTGAATTTGAAAATAATGATGAAAATATTACAGTGACTCAAAATCTTACAGTGACTCAAAATAATGATAGTGATTTATCTATATTATTGAACGAAAATGTTCCAGATGATATTGATGAACCTTATCATGATATGTTACCATCATGCTCAAAAAATTATAATAAAGTATTCAATCCTTCATCTATAATACCTATTCCAAAATTATTCAATATTTCATCGGATAAAATATCTAAAAAAAAGAATTCAGAAATATTAACATCTACACCTTATAAAAAAAAATTATTAATTCAGAGAAAAAAAAAGATATCAAAAAATAATTATTTATGTGTTATTTGTAATAAAAACTATAAAAATAGTCGCGAGGGCGATGAATGGCTAAAATGTACAATGTGCCTTGAATGGGCACATTCTAAATGTGCTAATTATGATAATTATTTTACATGTCCTTATTGTATCGATTAGTTTTTAAATAAAAATCATAAATAAATCTTAAATTTGTAATATTTGTTAAATAAAACAATAAATATGTGTCAAATATTATTTTAACCACTTTACCCTAGTGCTTATCCATTTTACCCTGTACCCAGGGTAAAATGGCGAAAATGAGTAGTTTTACATAACTAATCATAGCTCCTAAAATATCATAGGTAGAGGGCTACACTTTTTTTTATCTTGTAGAAGAGAGATGGGGCTACACATTGATCTATAATTTGTTGTGTTTGACTCTTGTTTAAAATTTTTATGGTAAATATGCAAAATGCCTATCGTTTTACCCCGGTCTCCCCTAATTATTTTTTATATAACATTTAAATTAATTAGCGAACGCGTTTAAATTTTGGAAGCACTATTAGCAGAATTGGATTTTGAGTTCTTCTCGAAAAAAATCTCTCATAAAATAAATATATATTTACTTTAAAAGCCTCTAATAAATTGAGCCCGAAAAGTCTTCTATAAAAAAAATAAATTGGCATTAGTGTAACGTAAAAGGGTTATGAGAACCTTACGTAAAATTAGAGAAACCGCTAACAGAGTTAAACCCTTCTCGGTAGGCAGAGTTACAGTGTCAATTTCTATATGTATTTTCTCATCTGTTTTGTCATATAATAAAATTTGCATTTATGTTATTTTGATCTTGTCGCGATTTCAATCAGGAAAAAAAAATTTTTATTCTTGTAAATCACAAAGGATTTAATTATTAAAAAAAAAATTTATTGGTTTTTTTTTAGAAAATTTTAAGTTAAATTTGATCAAAAATGTTTTATTTTGATATAAATTTCAAACTTTGATTATTAGGAATGCGTCTATAAGATAGGTTGAAAAGAAAGTGGATATTTTGTAAAGAACTATGCATATTTTATTACGATGAAAAACTCTAATTAATTACCAATTACATTTTGGGACACTGTCATCTTTTCTTACAAACCACTGCTAATCCTGTGTTCGCCTTAAACGTGTTCTATAACACTTATTTTGCAAAGTTGTAAGATTAAGACAATGGCTTATAAACTTTTTATGACAATCATCTGACAATAATGACTTATATCGGGTGACTTTGAAAAAAATTCCGGTAGTTTGTCGAATGCTTTAAAGAAGCGATATTCAAATATACCTTCACAAGTTTCAGGAAATTATACTGAATACTATTTGATCGCGGAGTGCGCACATTCATAGTTTTATCCTTTATCGATCATTTTTTTTAAAAAAAATTAGATTTAATATAGACGATTTAAATTTATCTTATACTGAATCAATTGTCGCCGCTATCATCAGAGTCTAAGGTAAAGATTAAAGGTCATTCATTATGTTTTTCCCATATGATGAAATTTAACAATCATTAAATATAAAAAAATATTGAATAATTGTAATAACCCCATTTCATGAAAAAAAAATGTAATTATGGATTTATAACTGCCAATTCTGAATTACATGCCTAAAAAAAATGTAATTATAATTACTAACTTCTTTTTATTAAAGTAAAATTAATCTCAGCTACTAATTACAAAAAAAAGGAGTTGCGGAATTGTAATTATGTAATTAATTAAATTACTCCTAAAATATATTTTTAAACTTACCCTCCCCCCCTTTCTCCCTCGATATTGAATTCCAGCGTCGTGCTTGGTAGAAAAAATCGGCGTTTTAAATTTTGAAGTCCAATAAGATTATCAGGAAAAAAATCAAGATTTTTGGAAAACGAAAGCTATACCCTAAATATTTATTAAATTCAAAAGTGGGCGCCAAGTATTTTTTTTAAATTGTGCCCCCCCCCCCCTATCATATTTTTGGCGATCTTAACAAATATATAATTTTTACTTTTCAAAATATCATCATCATTGAAATATTTATTTTAATAGGTTTATTACTATATTGTATTTTTTACTCATTTTGCGTCAACAAAAAATTCCAAAAAAGTTTTAAAAATAACGATCATGACAATTGTCACTTTTCTTTTCTATGGTATATCCTCACTGACATCTTAATTTAACATGTTTTTATATATATATTTTTACCCATTTGCGTCAAAAAAAAATTCAAAAAAGTTTTAACGATTATGACAATCGTCACTTTTCAATGATTCATCCCGAAATATTAATTTAACATGTTTTCATACATATTTTTACCCATTTGCGTCGAAAAAAATTCAAAGCGGTTTTAACAATTGTTACTTTTTTTATATGGTATATTTTAATTGATATCTTAATTTAACATGTTTATAATTTTTACCCATTTGCGTCAAAAAAAATTCTAAAAAGTTTTAAAAATAACGATCATGACAATTTTCACTTTTCTATTCTATGGTATATCCTCACTTATATCTTAATTTAACATGTTTACAATATATATTATATTTATACCCATTTGCGTCAAAAAATTTTTTTTTAAGTTTTAACGATTATGGCAATTGTCACCTTTCTATGATACATCCCGAAATCTTAATTTAACATGCTTACATAAAATATATAAATTAGATATAAATAACCCATTTACTTCCAAAAAAATTATTAAAAATAATAATTTATTAAATTTTAATATAACATTTTTAAGACTAAAATCTTTGAAAATCATTGATCAAAAATATTTTCAAATAAAAACATGGTCAACTCAATTTATTTTTTTTTAAAAAAAAACAGATCTGATTAATTTTCAAAGAAGACATTTTGTACAACTCTATAAGTTAGTTAGGTGAGTAAAATCGTATCAGGACCGATTTTTAGGCAAACACTTGCTGCACACATTGTATTACATCCTACTGATTTTCCAGGGTAAAATATATTCGAAGAGAGAGAAATAGATAAAACAATAAATTAATATCTAAATTATAAATATTTGCATCATCATATTTATGTTATACATATTATAACATATTTATTTATTAACATATAAGTATTCTTCGTGATACATATATATATATATCGTAATATAATGATTCGAATAATCGATTTAAATTGGATTTTTAAATACGTCAATCCTGGATGAATGCTGAGATATCGAATTCCAAATCCCTTTTAAAAAAAATGAAAATTATATTTAAAATGATGCTTTTTTTTAAACCAAATAGTCTTAAAAAATGACTTATCAATATATAACTAATTTTGAAAAATTTTCAATTTTAGATATATTTATCCTAAAAGTGGATAATTACTAATCAGAGAAAGAAAAGGAATTATTATAAAGAGATTAGAAAATTGTTAAGTAAGTAAATTGGGTTGGAGTCATTAATATATTCTATCTACGAGTTCAGTAATTATTGTGGTGTAATAACATCCTTGTATGTTGGTCATATGCTCTGGAGAAAGGAGCTTAAATTAAGATTGATTATTGTTACTATTTATTAGCTAACAATTAAATTTTAAAGGTGGATATGATCCAAAAAATGGACTCCAACTCCCCAAAGAATCTCAAAAATGGCAAATGATGAGAAAATTTCTCCTCCAAATATTAAAGTTAAGAGTAGACCAGTGCACCGAAGTCACAATCGGCGGTTGCGGTTTTTAAAAAATTTTCATTGGCGTGCATAATTAACCGCAGCCTCGACGGCGTTGGCGTTGTTACATATTTTTTTTAAAAAAATGAATTTTATTTGGGGAGCATTAGTTCCAAGATTGTTAACTATCGTTTGGTTTTTTTAAAATCATTTCCTGTCGCACTCGGCAAATAAATTTATAAATATTTATCTCATTTACCGAAATAGACTAAGGAAATATTACTTAGGGTCACGCATAACAGTATAATATTCTATCGACTTCATTGAAACAAATTTTGCATATAAATTTGGTACAAACACAAAATATAAAGTAAGAAATATATATATAAATTAGAAATCAAATATAGTAAAATTTGATTGCCATGTGTAAATATTATTTTGTAGAGACTGGTGGTGTCCAATGACGCATAATATCATTTCCGCTTTCCGCTAGGTGTACCGATTTTCGGTATATAAAGTACTTTCTTGGATGCTAAATTAGCAACAAGCCTAGGAAGTTCCAGTCGTTTTTTTTGCCGAAAGGTTAGTGCTGTTTTGGGCAGAGTAGAATGTGACATTCTTGCTCTAGATTACTATATTATAGTCGTTGCTTAGAAATATATATTTTTGCCATTTAAACCATATACGAATTGGATGTCTGCCCATTATCTTCACCTTGAATCTCATTTCCTCTATTTCTGTGATGCTTTGTAAGTTTTAAATGTTAAAAATTACAATGATGTCCTAAAATCCGATTTTTTTAGATCTTGAATTAAAAATGTGCAAAATATTTTAAATAAATCGTTTATTAAATAAAAATATTAAATTAAAAAATTTTTATATATAAATTAAATTACTCGCAGTTCGGTAATTGAAAACCCCATGGTCAAGCTTTTATTTTTGCTTACCTTTTAGGCAAATGATATCTGAGCTACCAGATTCATAGAGTTATTTCTATTAATTAAAAAATAGTAAAACCTAAAATAAATTGTTGATCCCTTTTGGGAGCAAAAAAAAATCTACAGATTCTCCGAATGGATTAAAGTAAAAGGGAATAATTTTCATCCACTAGATCCTATTCGTTATTGAAAAATTTTAAAGATCATTTCCGTTTTATTCGGTATACACCACGGATACTTTTTAGCATAATTAATATGCTATGCCAATGAGGGTCGCATTTTGATTATAAGGTTTTGATATTAATTCAATTTTGGTGCAATTGAGATAGGTGATATGGTATACCAATACATTTCATATTTTTCATTAATTTTAATATCCAGTAAGATTTAAAAAATAATAATATTTTAAATATACATATATAAATATAATTAAAGAATATTTTTATAAAAAATTTTACACGCCATGTTACCGCCATAAAAAAAATCGGCAGTGAGCTTGGCGGTGCGGCTTATTTTAATCGACGGCTTTTCCCGCTTTGAAAAAATGGCCGGTGGCACAGGTCTAGTTAAGAAAGACTAGTAAGAGGGTAATGTTGGATATAAGAATATTATTGTAGCAAAAACTGAGAAGATACAAAAATGTTTTGTTAAAAGTATCTAAGATACATTTAAAAAATATCTTTTAACAACTCCGACAACAAATTAAATGTGAGTAAATTTGATTAAAACTTAGCGATAAGCTTGACGAGGTCGAGGCTCAAAGAACATCTGTACTTTTGGCCTTCTACGACTCCGATGTTTTTAGAGGGTATCAAAAAGGTCTTAGATACTAATGTAGCCACCTAGTCAATAAATAAAATATAGAATGTAACAATATTTTCCTTGTGGATATGGGAGACGTAAATAAGTAGGAAAAAAGAGGGAGCTATATTTAATTAAACCTTTTTAGCTCTCATAAAATTTTTTATTTTAATATTTAGATCTTCAAAATGTGTATATTCCATAAATAAATTTAAGGGTAAATAACCAATGACATATAATAATACCTAGACTGACGATGCATTTATTAGTACATCAATGAAAAAACAGCTGGGGATGCCATTTTAATTACCCGTATCATTATTTAAAAATCTTAAACGAGAGGCCATTTTATTCATATGTCTGAACGCAAACTTTATCAAAGAATTGCCTGATTGTCGAGATAATAAGGAAGCAAGTTATAAATGTAAGAGTAGTTCTTAACATGAGAATAATTACTGTATGAGTTACCAAAATGGCGGGCACAGCTGATTTGCATTCCACGACGCTTTCAAATGCATTATCAACTCTAGGTATTATCATATGTCTTCTTAATAACTTAATAAATGTTTAAAATAGCAAAGCTTAAATTATATAAAAATTTTGACTACCATATGACAGTCTTAAAATGGAGAGCTACATCTAACCCATCTTTTTAATTATATATTTTTCACTTCCTTTTTACCATTTTTATGGGGAGGATCTAAATCGCGAACATAAAAATCAATTTTTTTTAATGGCAATATTTTTGAAAAATAATTTGATGTTAGGGAACTTACACCTATATTTTTAATGAAGTTATTATTTTTTTTAAAAAAAAAGAAAAGCGATGTCCCAAAATAGATTCCGAGATTAAGAAGATCAACAAAATTTTCCCCCATATTTGTTTTAACAACTTAATTTAAATATAAGTATAAAGGCTGTGTCAGAAGGTCGGCTTAATCAAGTATGTAAACCCTCCTGGGTTTGGGTTCAGCGAAATATCGAGGGTTCGGGTTCTCATCACTGGGCTTAATTTGGATACAATAAAGCTTTTGAACGATAACACCCTATTTTGATTTGTTTTAAGTATTTGGTGGCATAGTTATTCTTAGTTATTCTATTCTCGTTTTTTTTTCTTCTTTCTTTTTTGTTTTTTTTTTCGTTTTTTTAAAAAAAAAAATCTTTTCTTTTGCTTATTTGGCCATTTAGCCGATACTGAATAACCGGCTATTTAGTATTAAGCCGAACTAAGATATGGCCCTAATTGCTTTAAGAAATATTTCGGCTATAAGAAATATTTCCAATTTTTTTTAGTGATTTCGAAGTGAGAACCACTGAAAGAAAGAAAGAAAGAAAGAAAGAAAGAAAGAAAGAAAGAAAGAAAGAAAGAAAGAAAGAAAGAAAGAAAGAAAGAAAGAAAGAAAGAAAGAAAGAAAGAAAGAAAGAAAGAAAGAAAGAAAGAAAGAAAGAAAGAAAGAAAGAAAGAAAGAAAGAAAGAAAAGAAAAAGAAAACAAAGAAAAGAAAGAAAGAAAAGAAAGAAAGAAAAGAAAGAAAAGTAAGAAAAGATAAGAAGGAAAGAAAAGATAAGAAGAGAAAATAAGGAAAGAAAAGAAAAGAAGGAAGAAAGAAAAAAGACACATAATCTTCCCAGGTATTTCATATCTCAATAGGATATAAATGATATTATATATATTAATTTATAAAGTAATATACCGAGATTTGAAAATCGATTGAAAAGCAGAAATTGGTGTTGACCCAACCCTCCGTAATAGATCTGAATATCGACATCAATCTGTGAAGGGAAAAGTTCTTGGGAATTCGTAGGTGACAATTACTGCTTTGATTCTTTGATTTATTTATATATTTAAAAAAAAAAAAAGAAGAATAATGTAATATTGATTGCGGATAGCGGATAGTGTTGTTAAAAAACCCGATTCGATCGATTTAAAGAAAGGGCCCGCTTAAGATCATGACCAAAATAACATTTATGTAAGCCAAAAGATTTCGCACATATCACCAAATCTCTATGCTTACATATTATTTTAGCTGAAATCTTAATCCGGCCCGGACTTTTAAATTATCTGGCGGGACCGGACAACGTATTGCTAAAAAATATTTTTGAGGGTCATGTCAAAAATTTCGAAAAAAATTTCCATGAGCCGATTCGTGTCAAGCGGACATTTAATAATTATTTTGTTTAAAATAAATCGAATATGAATTTTTTTTTCAAAAAAATTTTTTTGTAGCTTTTGCGACAATGAAACAAAATTTCTCAATATATCAAGATGAGGTTTAGTTTGATGAAAATTATTTTTTTCAAAATATCTAACCCTTTTCCAACATTTTACGATATTATGACTTCTAAGGCTATTGTGCCGATATCAAATATCGGATAGTGTCGATATTAAATATCGGATAGTGTCGATATTAAATATCGGATTAAATTACCTAACTTTAACCATCTCTATTGCGGTTTAGTCAAGTTTTTACCCTAAAAAATTATATTTAAGCTTGTAAGTTGACTCTCAACTTGAAGATCGATTCGAATATTTTTGTACAAATACATAGTTACAGCTGTTTTATAGTTGACTAAATTTAGGTAGTTTAACGACACTAATTTTTTTTTAATTTTTGATTAAAACAAATTATTTTTTATTTATTTTAATATTTTAACACTTTGACATTCTTTCTCATTTATTTCTTATGGTCTTCCCTAGGGTAAACACGATGCAGGCCAAGCTACAAAAACTTTTGAGAGCTCCTAAAATAATCACGTAATGTGTTTATAACTCTAACTACGTAAATGTTCTATCTACATCAAAAAAAATCGATTCACATATCCACTAAAAAAAATATATAGACCCCGTTTTCGTTTGTTACACCATTATCGGTCTTACTGCATAGGATAGGTTCTAAATCGATTTTAAAAAAATTGAGAAATATGAATATTTCCTCCATTTTTTAAAGTGATTTTAACTCAATTTAAATAAAAGTGTTTACTACTTTCAAATTTACTTTTTGAAAAATTTTTCTAGGGGAGATAAATAAGCGACATTCCCCATTTTTTAGTGATTAAGACCGGGAACCATCATTTACCCTTTAAATTATTACACGTTTTTAAATGGCGTAATGGGTTACATATATTATTCAAAATATCAAACAATACAAAAAATCTGTCAATCAAAAAATAAAAAAACCGGTTACGAACTTTTTTCCTGGTGGTTATTCTTTTTCTATTCTTTTCCTGTATATATATGAAGAAAATATATAGATTATATATATACATATTATATTATATCCAGATAATAAATAGTGTATACCGGTTGAAACACTCCACTAGTAAAACACAAAATATTTGTCATTATAATTTAGTGACTCCAAATTGTTCGGCCCAATTTTGACGAAGATGATATTAAGATATTTTTTTAAAAAATAACTATATAATAACACCTAGACTGACGATTCATTCATTTAAAAGTGTAGATCAATGAAAACAGCTGGGGCCACCATTTTGAGTACCTATTATCATTATTAAAAATTTTAAACGAGAGGGGCCTATTTATTCCTCTGTCTGAAGAAGCAAACTTCATCAAAGAATTTGCCTGATCATCGAGATAATAAGGAAGCCAGTTATCAATTTTAATAGTAGTTTACGGGTTACCAAAATGGAGGCTCCAGCTGATTTGCATTCTACGACGCTTTCAAATGCATTATTACGAATGCATCGTCGGTCTAAGTATTATTATATGTCATAGGGTGGGACCCGACTGGAGGCTGACTAAATCATATTTTATATAAATAAATGAACATCTGACTTAAATAAACGGTAAATTCCGACCCAAATTTAAATCTGATATATCTCAGAAATAAACGATCTTATTTATCAATAGTTAGTGTAGTGATTAGCTATCCGAACACCGGGGATTAACAGATAAAGAATAACGAACCCACAACATATGGTTTTGGGAGATGGGGGAAAGTTCGAGAATGATTGCCGGGGATTATGGAATGGGATGAAGGATGTTTATGATTGTATTATTATGACGTGTTGTTATCGGATTAATTATGAATAATAAAGGTTTATTGGATTACAATAAAGAATTAGATGAAGTCCAAGTTATTTATTATATATCTGTTACAGTTAGTCAAACACTTAAAACATTAATATCAATTTTCAACCCATTTTCCCCTTGGAAAATTATAGCATTATAAAAATTTTTATACTATATTAAAATTGATTAAAAATCCTTTTGTAATCTCAAAAAGCCACTAATCATAATAATAATTCAATAAATAGTTTAGTGATGTTAGTGCAAATAGGGTAAAATATTATATTGGCAATGTTACCTTATTGATTATTGCATGAGTTGAAAAAAATGAATTATTTCATTTATATATGTATATACAAAATTTTTTTAAAATACTTTTGAGAAATAAAAATCGTCTGTGTTGGTCGAATTCGAAGATGCGAGAAACGAGGCAAGTAAAACATACTTGTGAATCAGGGGCAAAGTTTCTAATTGATCGTATTGAGCTAAATTTGTTTTCAATGTAGTAACGATAATTTTTTAAGTAGAACCTTGCAAGGACAAATCCAATTCCAAATCTGATCCAATCAAGCTAGGATTTAAGATCTGTAAAGCATTTTCTGGGAGATCTTGCTTGGATCAGATTTCTGAAAATCAATTTTCAAAAATAAACTATAAAAATTGTATTATTATCCTCTAGGCACTTATAATTTTTCCGATTTCGCTAAAATATTGTGCCTTTTTCACGGTATAATAATGAACTTATTTTAAAATAAAATTGTGAATTGGAGTTCGGATCTTCTAATCTTTTGGATGCACAAAAAAATCTTTAAAATTTTCCAAGGATCGGGTAAAGATCTAGAAAAGGTTTCAAGTACGAGGGCTCTAATCTTAAGTATTTTTTTTTTCAAAATAAAATTTGCTGATATGCAAAAATTATTTTAGCAAAACATTTGTAAAATAAATAATTTAATTTAATCCATTGCATATTTATTTCAGATACAATTTGCCTAGAATTTCTGATATTTTCCCAGTATGATGATTACTTTGCACTAGTGAAGATCATTAAGAACCACTAAGAGGGATTTACGTATCATATACACTTCAAATTACTACAGTGGGGAGTGATGCACCTACATAAGATATACCCCTCCTACGTCATTTTGATGCACTTTTCCTCCTTGTACCATGGTTACTGGGGTTGGAGACAAAACGCATGAATATAAGAATAAAATTAATACACCTCCTGTATAAGTTATTACACAATAACCAAGGTAAACAAAGAAGAAAGGGCATCGAAGTTTGCTAAAACAGCTTGTCCCCACTCTTAGAAAAACTAAGAGTACCCCACCCCCCTAACATTAAGGGTGGGAGATATATCCTAATACTAGTAGTCCAAAAACGAACGTCGCGAAAAATGAAAATATCATTTCGCACTGTCCTTAATAAATGAACGATCCATACCATGGGCCTAAATAAGTTTCCGCCTAATTTAATTCTTTTATTGGGTTCTATACGTACTGCGGTGGCGTATAAATTGGGCCACACACCCCCCCCCCTTACTCAATGGAAAAAATTTAATTTTAATTTAATAAATAATAATTTTGATCTACACTACAGTATTTGATTATATATTTTTTTTTTTAAAAAATAAATTTTAAATTATTTTGTAAAAAAAAAAAACTTGTCTAGTTTGTAATATTCCCTAAGAGGAAACAATCATTAATTTAATCCTATTTCGGCAAATGTCAATCACAGATATGCCACAAGTCTATTTTTTGACTACCTTCATTCCGCTATTAAATATATAAGTATCGAAGCTACAACCAAATCGAGTCTCATATTTTAAAATATGATAGTTTTTTTTTATAATGATGAATAATAGTAAAAAGTAAAAACTTATTTTAAGATATTTAGTTTATTTAATAATTTTTTTTGAAATTGCTTTCGTGCTTCCAGAATTTTCTTTCTATCTTGAATCTTGGCATCAATTTTCGTTCCTATCTATAGTGTTTACCAAGTGTATCGAAGATTAAACTAAAATATATTCTTTAAAGCATTACATACTATAGCCCTAAGCTTTAGGGTTTAGTGCTTTCGAAAAATTTGGCAAAAACTTCATGCTTAGAACTGTGTCTTAATAAGAGATTTTTAAAATTTAGTGAGATTTAAATTACTTCTTACTTTTCAAAACAATTAGTATTTTTATTATCAATTTGTGTGTGTGTATATATATATACTATTTTATAATTATTAAATTTAATCTATAAGTATTCGATTAAATTGACCTTAATAATATAGATATGTTATAAAATTGTGTGACAAATATGAATTCGGTACGAAACAGCGAAAACCAAAATAGCGAAAAATAAAAAAACATTCCCATTTATGTATGACTCCACTAAAAATATCAAATTTAAATAATACATATTTTATTAAAATATTAATAATAATGCTATTATCTTATATTTTGATATAGTAAATATTTATTATATTTTTATATTAATTTTTTAAAGATATTATAAAAATTATTTAATCTAGAGCAATAAATATGTATTAAATTTTTCCCATAATATAATATGTCTCTAAAACCTGTAATTAATAAGATATATAAAAATATTAAAATATCTTATTGATATATATTTCTTTTTAAAGTCACATCCTATAAGTAAAACTATCATAAAACTGAGAATTTAGGTTGTTTAATTATTTATATTATAAATAATAACTCATTTACATTCACGATATATATAAACTATTTATATATTCCATAGAAGGATTCATCATTTTTATTTGCACTGGATAATATATAATATTATAATAAAACAATCATATAGAAACAGAATAAATAATTTATATAAAAATTCATATAAAATATAGATCTCACCAATATTTATTATTTACATTTTAATTGTATGGATAGTTATTTGATTAATTGTTTACATTATATATTTGCACTTAAAAATAAAACGGTGACATTTATAAAGGTATACGTATTAAGAATATTTAATTGAACAAATTGCGATATATATGCCGAGAATAATGTTTATAAATAAAATATAAATCTAACATTTTAATTTAACAATTTTAGAAATTTCATCCAAAAATGTTAAAACCTTCGGTTCCTTCATAACATCCGAATGTCCCATGTATGACCCCGACAACCCCAATGTTTGCCATTTGCGCCATAAAGCTTGTGAGTAGTGAAAATAACATCCTAAATATATATCTAATTAATATATTAAAAAACTAAATGAACCATTTATGGACATGGTTGGAAATACATCCTTAAGAGCTGAAATCGCGGCGATTTCATAATCCGTCTGGGCCATAGATGGATTAAACCATGTTATTTTCTGCACAAAATTCTACAAGGACTCTGAATACCTTTATATATATATCTCATTATTTTTGTTTGGCAAAAGAGCATACACAATAGGTATCATGACCTTTTGAAACATTACATGAATAACATAGAGCTGATAATATAAGCTAGGAGCAGAATAAAATGTTCCATCCATATATATATTATCAGCTCTCTCTGCTAATCTCAGCATAGATGCTGTTCCGAACATTATTAATTTATTATTATCACTATAAATTAGGAATTGTTCCCCCAGCATAGTTAAAGTAAATTCAGGGGTTAAAATAATTTCCTCCACAGCATAAGGTAACACAGGTCGATACTTTTTTAATATCCTATCAATTGTGGTTTTGAAGGATACAAATGATGGAATAGCCTCTGGATATTCTGCAATATCCAAGCACTCCGAGCATCTAATCTGCATTGCCTTATTATAAATTGTCAATCTTGATTCCAGAGGATTTTCGGCCACTAGAATTTCAATCACCTCTTTAGTCCTAAGTTTTTCGTATATATATGTCTCATGTTGATGAGAATGCCCACAAGTCATCGTATAAATACCATCATATTTGCATCTTCCTTTGCAACTAATATTTCTACACCTATAATAACTAATCAAATCTTTATGGTGATCAATTCTATATAAAAACATGTTATAAAATAACAGAGGTTTTCCTTTCTGGCTATTTATAAATCGCGGACCTTAATAATTAAAAAATAATAATTAGTCATTAAATTTTATTTTACTATGACTGTGATGTAAGTCAATTAGAGCATTTGCAATATTTATTGTACTTTCACCAGCACAGGAAGTGTTTGTGGAAGGTACAATCAGATTTGTATCTACAATATAACATTTAATACAATAAAAGTAAAATATGGCTTTACTTTCAGTGTCAGTGAACCAAGCCTGTGCATCTACAATTACATTTTGTTGAAAACTTGAGCCTAAATTAATTGCTTTTAAATTTTCAGATACTGTTGGGATTTTCATTATTTATAATATTATAATAATGCAATAATAAATTTATTTAAATGGAGTTTGAAATTTGCGCCTGTTATAGATATATCATATCGAAAAAATGTGTCATATCGAAAATGTTGGCCATCTTTTGGGAATGTTTTTGGGAATATTCCCTGATTTTCGCTGTTTCGTATTTCGCTATTTCGTGCCCAGGCCGACAAAAATAGATATTCAAGTAAACTTTTAATAATATTTGAAAATAAAATTTTAATTAGAAAACTCAAAAAGGACATAGTTTCATAAAATATAAAGGTTATGAATATTTACACCATAAAAGAGGTAGGAATGCTACATATTTTACATGTAGAAAAGTGTGTGGAGGAAGAGGAAAACTTATGAACGATTACAGTTTTATCATAACTGTGAAACATGATAAATCTTGCAAATCAGATCAAGGTACATAAATATCATAATCAATAAATTTTTGACCAATTGTTTTTACTAAATTTAATTAATTTAGGCTCAAGTTTTCAACAAAATTTAGATGAAGCTGCATTCACTACCACTTAAAGTAAAGCCATATTATACTTTTATTGTATTAAATGTTATATTGTAGATACAAATCTGATTGTACCTTCCACAAACACTTTGATAACTCAATCAAGTGCTGGTCAAAGTATAAATTTTTCACCAATTGTTTTTACAAAATTTAATTAATTTAGGCTCAAGTTTTCAACAAAATGTAAATGTAGATGCACAGGCTTGGTTCACTGACACTGAAAGTAAAGCCATATTTTACTTTTATTGTATTAAATGTTATATTGTAGATACAAATCTGATTGTACCTTCCACAAACACTTCCTGTGCTGGTGAAAGTACAATAAATATTGCAAATGCTCTAATTGACTTACATCACAGTCATAGTAAAATAAAATTTAATGACTAATTATTATTTTTTAATTATTAAGGTCCGCGATTTATAAATAGCCAGAAAGGAAAACCTCTGTTATTTTATAACATGTTTTTATATAGAATTGATCACCATAAAGATTTGATTAGTTATTATAGGTGTAGAAATATTAGTTGCAAAGGAAGATGCAAATATGATGGTATTTATACGATGACTTGTGGGCATTCTCATCAACATGAGACATATATATACGAAAAACTTAGGACTAAAGAGGTGATTGAAATTCTAGTGGCCGAAAATCCTCTGGAATCAAGATTGACAATTTATAATAAGGCAATGCAGATTAGATGCTCGGAGTGCTTGGATATTGCAGAATATCCAGAGGCTATTCCATCATTTGTATCCTTCAAAACCACAATTGATAGGATATTAAAAAAGTATCGACCTGTGTTACCTTATGCTGTGGAGGAAATTATTTTAACCCCTGAATTTACTTTAACTATGCTGGGGGAACAATTCCTAATTTATAGTGATAATAATAAATTAATAATGTTCGGAACAGCATCTATGCTGAGATTAGCAGAGAGAGCTGATAATATATATATGGATGGAACATTTTATTCTGCTCCTAGCTTATATTATCAGCTCTATGTTATTCATGTAATGTTTCAAAAGGTCATGATACCTATTGTGTATGCTCTTTTGCCAAACAAAAATAAGGAGACATATACAAAGGTATTCAGAGTCCTTGTGGAATTTTGTGCAGAAAATAACATATGGTTTAATCCTTCTATGGCCCAGACGGATTATGAAATCGCCACGATTTCAGCTCTTAAGGATGTATTTCCAACCATGTCCATAAAAGGTTCATTTAGTTTTTTAATTAATTATATATATAGTTAGGATGTTATTTTCACTACTCACAAGCTTTATGGCGCAAATGCCAAACATTGGGGTTGTCGGGGTCATACATGGGACATTCGGATGTACATAAAGTAGTCCGAAGAATGAGCACCCTCCCATTCTGTAGGGAGGAACATGTAGCATTGGTACGTGATACTTGCTATCAAATGGCTGCCAATGATACCCTGCTCTCAAGCTTTATGATGTATATGGATACAATTTGGCTTGGGGATAGACCACTATTTCCTTATACATTATGGTCAAGGTATAAAAGATTCAAAATTATATATTATCTAATTTATATATTTTTAATTTAGGTATAGAGTAGCAGGACCTCGCACTAATAATCACTTAGAAGGGTTCCACCATGCCCTTAACCAAAAAATCTCTTACACTCACCCTAATATTTATACATTATTAAAAATTTTAATAAATTACCAAAATATAAATGATCTAAAGCTTATTTAGATAAGTAATGGGTCAACTGTGAATCGTATTAATTACGCATATGAAATAAAGGATTGGAAGATTGCTAACTTAACCGATATTTATGAAGGAACCGAAGATGTTTTAACATTTTTGGATGAAATTTCTAAAATTGTTAAATTAAAATGTTAGATTTATATTTTATTTATAAACATTATTCTCGGCATATATATCGCAATTTGTTCAATTAAATATTCTTAATACGTATACCTTTATAAATGTCACCGTTTTATTTTTAAGTGCAAATATATAATGTAAACAATTAATCAAATAACTATCCATACAATTAAAATGTAAATAATAAATATTGGTGAGTCTATATTTTATATGAATTTTTATATAAATTATTTATTCTGTTTCTATATGATTGTTTTATTATAATATTATATATTATCCAGTGCAAATAAAAATGATGAATCCTTCTATGGAATATATAAATAGTTTATATATATCGTGAATGTAAATGAGTTATTATTTAAAATATAAATCATTAAGCAACCTAAATTCTCAGTTTTATGATAGTTTTACTTATAGGATGTGACTTTAAAAAGAAATATATATCAATAAGATATTTTAATATTTTTATATATCTTATTAATTACAGGTTTTAGAGACATATTATATTATGGGAAAAATTTAATACATATTTATTGCTCTAGATTAAATAATTTTTATAATATCTTTAAAAAATTAATATAAAAATATAATAAATATTTACTATATCAAAATATAAGATAATAGCATTATTATTAATATTTTAATAAAATATGTATTATTTAAATTTGTGATTTTTTTAGTGGAGTCATACATAAATGGGAATGTTTTTCAAATAACGTTGAATAGTATAACCTTTTAAAATATATAAAATTTAACACTTACATTTATTAAACAAACTGAAAAGATAAAAAAATAAGATCTATGAAGATCACAAAAATCATAAGATTCAAAAATATCTTGAATCGGGGAAAGTAAAACTATAATGTATTTAGAAAGAAATTGATTTAATATTTAAAGGATTCAGCCTAAGACGTGACGTAATTTTTATTTCCCTTATAACTGTTTTTTATTGGCTGAAAAAAAAACTAATCGACATCCATTACATATTACTCATTGCTTCTAGAATTTTCCATCTAGCATGATGGCAATATTGGCAATTTTTTTTATTATTTTGCCCAAAATGTTTTTCTTTCTACAAAAAACGGGTTGAAGTAAATTATTGGCATAAATTTTAAATTTCTGAGATAAGGCTTCCAGATGTTTGGCTAACTTTAAGCTTTTAGATGTGATAATCATATTTAGTTTTTAGGTTACTTTTATAATTACTGTCGAAATTGATTAAAGAATTAATGAGGTACCAAATATTAACGCAAACCAGAAGTTATAACTTCTATATTCTCTGTTCTTGCATAATGCAAACAGAATAAAGCAATTAAATATACTAGGGAAGGCCCTACTTAATGGTTTAGTATAAGTTACATAATTAGTGTTTCCAAAAGGTTGTATCACTTCACACTTAAAGTGTGGCATCATAATTTCCATTTTGTTTATAACTCAGTTTCTTTCTGTAGTTCTCATATCTGAGTGAGGAATTGAAAGTACTAATCAGGCATTAAATATTAACGAATGCCAAGATATTTAATTCCGATATTTTTCATTTTAGCACATCTATTTTGGGAAATTTTCTCTTTTCTTTATATTGTCTAATAAGGGGATTAATTTTATATACAATTAAGCTCTAAACATTGATAAAATTTACAGAATAAATGCTTTCCGTCACTTATTAATTTTAAGGTTGGCCTAAATTTTGTCAGATACTAATAAAGCTCAAAACATGCCATATTTTAAAATTAGGGCTTGATTCAATTTTAATCGAGATTTTATAAAGACCACGAAAAATATAAATAATATATAAGAATTATAGGAGAAATCCGGCCATTGGGCAAAATGGGGTTTTATGGTAAAGCCTTAAAAAAGATTATTAACCCCTCCCTTATGTAAAATCCTACACCACTACTGGTAAAATGCTTCTTTGACAAACTTATGCTTTCCATATTTTTAAAATAGAAATGTATTAAATTTACACAAAAACTAAAATAACATAAAATAAAATACACAAAGTTTAAAAGTAAACAAAAATTTTGATAAAAGACTGGTTTGGACTGTAATCCTCAAAAAAAAATTGGTCCGATCCAGTTTAAAACTGCTAGGACCTACCATTGAACATCACGTGCTAAAATACACTTTCAATTTTTTAAGTTTAAAAATTGAATGATTTCAAATCCCTGTAGATTCAATTCTTAGTATAACATATAAGTTCTATATATAAATAATATATTAATAATTTACTTGTTAAAGATAGGCAATTTTGCTTATCATCTTCTGATTTTTTATTTTTTAAATTATTTTTATCATTTAGAATATTGGAATATTTGGCCAATGTTTTGCACTGTAAATAAACATTTATTTCATTAGAATTTGAATCTAGATTTTATAATAAATGAAATTTTAATTAAATACATTGCAATTTACTTATATTTTCTGATGTTGAAAGTGATTTATTAATTGTCGAATCCATCTAATTATTGTGAAAAAAAATTAAAATAAAAAATAATGATTAATTACTATTAAACTTAAAATAGTTAAATCTCTACATATGGGATAATACAAGCTTATCAAAAATGACACTTTATCTTGTAAAGAGGATACATTATCAGAGGAATGGCCTATATCATAATTATTTATGTGTGCCAATGATTCACTTGTTTCTATTTTTAATTGTGCATCTTGATGTAAAATTATTTCAATTTGATCTTTGGATTTTAAGTTTTAACAAAAAAAACACATAAATCATTACTTTTATCAAAATTAGGAAAATGAATAATAATGGGCCGATCATAATTTAATGGAATATTATAATTCTCCAAAGGAAGTGCACTGATAAAAATTGAACAAATTTTCAAATTAACCTTAATAAAATAGTTATATATAAAAGTTTATTTAAATGTTTGTACCAGATATTTCAATTTCCCAAAAATAATCATATTATCTAGACCTATGCTCTTAAAGCATTCTGTATTTAAAAAAACCTAAATAAAATCATTTAATTAAAATAAATTAGGAATAATATTACAAGGTATATAATATCAATGCATATTCCCAATTTATCAATTATTCTTAAATTCTGTAAGAAGTTATTAATATTATCATTTAGCAAAAATTGTTCTTTTTCTATATCTAATCTTTGGCACAAATCATTGATTATTAAATTCCAAATAATTTTTTCTTCATAACATTCTTTTAAATCAATATATATTGGCAGTATCTTGGAAAAAAAAATTAACATGTCATACAACTTAAATACCTTTTTTACATTCATAACATAGTTTAAGATATAATTTTTGTCAATGTTTCCCCATATAAATAAGTTGTCTATAAGTAAATCTTTCTAAAAAATATAGTTAGAATATGTTAATATATATTATGTTTTATCATTTGATATAAATTTAAAAATTTTGCAGGTCCGGCCCTAAGCCCGTAATTTTTTAAATTCCGGGCCGAGGCGTACAAATGGTACCTCTGCAGGTCTATCAATATATTGGTATAAATATTTTAAAGATTTAAAACCTTATTTAGTAACTGGTTAAAAAGATTTATTTGAGCTTGGCGCTGAGGAATCATATGTTTTTAATTGATGATTATTTCGAAAACCTTGTTTCGGTCAATCATTGTCAAAATAGATATTAGGCGTAAATGTATTTTAATTTTTTTCTAATAAGAACTTAATATTTCTAAAAAATCTTTTATTTGATGATTTGTTTAATTTTAGGGTTATTTAAAATTACAAGTTAAAATTTTTAAACTAAAGTTTACATATTAATAATTACTAAGATTTCAGGAATATTTATAATTTTTTCCAAGAAAAGGTTCAATATTTATTTTAATTATATTTATATATATGTTATAACAGACATAAACTAGTGGTCCAAGCTAATAAATTATCTATAAATATAGCTCTCTCTAAGATGTGGCCTAATATTTGATAAATAACTTTTGTTTAAATTGAAAAAACTACATAATATATTAGATATGTAAATTTTTGGATTATTAATTATTGAAATTTCATTATGTGGGAAATATATAATTTTTTATAAGATATGCTTAAATATTTTATATAAATCTTTCGTTTTGAATTGAATATCATAATATTTTTATTTGATTATACAAGAATTCGTTCATTTATTAATTAGATATTATAATCGTAACATTCAAAATCACATAATACGCAACATGAAATATTTATTAATTTGGTAAATTATAAAATTCTAAAGTATTTACTATAAATTTGAGAAATCGATTAACATTAAATTTTCATCTAAAATGAATAAATAAAATAATAATATAAACGATTAATTTTATACAAGCAATTTATATTTCAAAACAGATAAAATAATCTGTAATATTACGAACAACTTATATTACAAAAACAAATAAAATAATCTACAATATTTTCAAACACAACCTACCTTTTTTGATACTACTTTGGTATTTTCCAACTCGAAAAAAATTTCATCCATCTGTATCACATCTAATATTACGAATATTAAAAAGTTTATATGTGTCTTAATGGGATACTATGAGGATTAAGAGTACCAATTTCTTTTTTTTTGGGGTTGTAAAAAATCATGAGGATTTAAAATGATTATAAAGGCTGCATTTTAGACTGATCATTCGTTAGGCTTTATTGATTCAATGAATATCATAATCTTTAAATGAACTTATAGGACAAATATTTTATTTTAAAAAATGGTTATCAAATTATTAATTTAAATATAAATTTAGAAAGATTACAATATATATAGATATTATCTTTATTTATAAATTACTTGTTAAATCTTAATTGACATAATTTTAGTTTATAACACGAATATAAAAAAGTTGGCAATAACATGTTAACACTAGGTGGCGCTGAAACGCTTTAAAATGTAAAACATTTTAATAAATTTGATTTTGGATCGGATAAATGATTGTCATTAGATCAAGATTAAAAAAAATCTTTTAATATAATTTGAAATCCATAGTGCTAATTTTTATTACTCCACGTTTGGCCAGTTTTATAAGTATTATAAAGCCCATCTAGAGTAGTTTGAAATGAATAGAATTAATCTAAAAGTGGAAGAAGTTACAATTTTAAACAAACTGAATTTTTTTAGTCCAATGTCA